CCATCGCCAAATAACGCAAGCACTCACTTGACACCTCTCACTTTAGTGGGAAGTGTGCTTCTGCTGTAGTTGTGGCCCGAGCCTGAGACTATCACGGTGCGCCAAGTGCCATTATTTGGAAGGTGGCCGACTGACGCCGCCACGCAGTCTGCCCAGTTGTCTGTGTTTGTGTGGAGTGACGGGCTGGTGGACTGACAGCCAGACTGCAACGGTTCCTTTACGTGACCTCTGGCACTTTCACGCATGCGATATGTATGCCGCTGATGCCCTGTTGTGTGAAACCCTGATGTTTGTGTTTCGGGGCCAGGTCGTGCACGTGGCGCGCGCAGACGAGTCCACTAGATATGGCAGCCCAGCTGCAGGCGCACGTCACGCCAACTGGGATCCGAGCCGCCTCCCTATTTGTTGTTGTATATAATTGTGGTCAAGTGTTTGTTGTGCACTAGGGGGTGTGGTGGTACACCTAGGTGCGGGTCCGGGCGTGCCAGCCACCTGCGCCCTCCGGTCTTCTGGACTATATCTTGGCACTCTGTTCAAGTGGGGCAGTAGCGGGCGAGGCAGGTGCGGCACGAGTCATCGTGCCTGCTCTCACCTTGCTGTGGAGCACACGGTGGGCATCGTCGGCAACGACTGTCTAACTGTCGTGTCGCGCCTCCACTAAGGTAATATTCCCTATTTGGCATCATGTTTGTTAATTTAGAGGCTTACTTTAGGTACTTGCTGCATAAGTTGACCGACCGACTTGGGTAGTAGACTGGCGCCTCGGTGGGGGAAAATAGAGTGAAATAGACTCTCAGGGCATATTCCCCACCTTTAACATTTTGAAACGTCTGAATCTCTTATGGTGCACTAAAAGCGTGGTTTGGAAAGTTGCCAACTGACGGGATAACTCGGTCCTCTTCAGGATGGAGTCAGCCTGCAATGGCCCCGTCCTAACATGGCCTCTCTTGCACTCTTTCTAATTTGGTATCCGAGCCGTTCCTTCTTCTTTTTGTGGGAACCCAGTCCTCTGTGCGCGGACCAGGAGCGTGAGGCACGCGTAGACGATTTGTTTGGATTGCTTAGTCACTGCTCCTGGCCCCGCCTCCGGTCTTCTTGACTCTTTCTTAACACTGAACGCAGGTGGGTGATAGAGAAGGCGGTGCGGTGGGCGCAGCGCAAGTCTACTAGCCCTATAAACGAACCCACGCGCAATCCATCCTCCCTGCGTCTCATCTGCTGTGGGACACACAATGGGCATCGTCGGAACCGACGACCAAACTGTCAGGTACTTAAATCAGACATCGCTTCTCTCCCTTATGTTCGACAATCACCTCCAGGGCTTGACAATGGTCGTGAACTATGATCTGCCACCCTCCGCCACGGAGTACATTCATCGGGTCGGGCGCACCGGCAGGGCCGGTCTTCCTGGCCACGCCATCACTCTCTGGACAGACGCCGACCTGCCGCACCTGAGCGCGGTTCTAGAGGTGATGAAGCGCAGCGGGGCACCAGTGGACGAGGAACTGCAGCGACTCGTAAGCGTCTGGTGTTCACGCAGGGCCGCCCGGACGCGGACTCGGGTCACGGGCGGGGTGCTGTCGCAACGACGCGGTGAGAGGCGTCTTGCGGCCCGTGTCGTTCGCGGCTCTGGAAAACAGAGAATCAAGTAAGCTCCCATCTCTCCTACGTTCAGAAATGCGGAATTCTTCACCATTTTGTTGATCGTTGAGCTTACTTAGTAGCTTAAGCGTAATTTCCCACGCTGTCATGTTCGTGATAGTCGCCGCGCGTAGTTTTACTGCTTTATAACACTTGTCTTTGCATCCCAGATGAAGATTTCAGAAATTATGAAACACGACTTCTTGGGTCACAATTATGACAGTCGACACACTCACTACTGCCCTTGAACTCACTTTTGTTATTTAGCAGTTTGTTAACTGATCTAAACGCAGCCGCCGCCATCGTTCTCTGTCCAAAGAATTCTGGAATGGTATGTATCGAAACATGGCAGACATTAGGAAAAAATGTAACACCTTTTTAGATGAAAAAGCATAACTAGGTGCTCTTACCACGCTGATTACTTTGAAACATAATTTCACCTTACTTTATGCATAAATTCGTTTATACTGCCTGTAAGAGATATGCTGTCAGACGGTAAAATTGGACTGCAGTAATGGTTGACATAGGGCATTACCGTAGATTACTGGATGAGACATGATATGTTTGCTTTCTGTGACATCTCGAAAACTGGTGGTGACGACCACAATCGGAATAACTATTTAAGTAGTACGTATTCCCACCTTTAGAAGCCTTACCAAAACGACTCGTCTCCCATAGTCATTTTGTTGAATGCCTCATTTTCTTGAAATAGTGCATTTGGAATGAATGATTTTTAGCTTGTAAGCAACCTTATCTTGGACAAATTTTCGTAAGTGTCCTCATTTTTTCTCTCTTTGTGAGCCAGGCATAGAAACTTGTCGATATGACTGAACATATGAGCAGTGGAGCGTCTTAAAAACCTCTTAATTAAGTATCCTTTAGACCGAAACACCCCTTACTGGCAGAGGCGCCAATGAGATGCAAAGTCCTCTTCAGCGCCTGTGTGAAGGACATTCTTGTCAATCGCTTCCAAAAAAATAGTTCGTCAGAAAATGACAGGATACGCATATCCCCTAGTTGTGGAGTGAAACCGTCAATGGCTGTGTAATCTTCCCTGTAAATTTAGCCTTGGTAGGCTCATTTGTTAGATATGTTGGATTTTCGAGTTTCGACGTGTCTTGTACCACGTTCGCTTGTGACGAACTACCACTATTTGCATTGGTTTTTCTGTTTACTCCCCAAAGGAAGTTGCAGCTCTCGAACTAATATACTGTGACTGATGCTACTAATAGGATTATCTCTAGTCTGATCACCTAAAGAAAATAGGAGCAACTTTCCTCCTCAGTTACTGTATCAACTCTCATCTTTATTCGTCTCGACGTATTTTTGCTAGCGAAAAACGGGGGCACAACGCAGCACAACCTCCATACCACGGCGTCTACAGCTTATGCCCTAGAGAGCTACCAATTAGCCAGCAATGCACAACGGTAATGGGGTGGAGGGACAGACATAAGGGCGCAACCCCACACATCCGCCGATTCCGATCATTATAATTTTATTTTTTTTAATCACGTGTCATTGACAGTCCCAACGGCTTCAGGCTCCACGCAGACAGCTGTAATCTTCGATATACAAGAAGACGCTTCACTCTTACTGGCCTAGCCATGCCTGTTATTAATCTAATAACCTTTCAACTAGTCACTGCCTAAGATAACCGATTTATGCACACCCTCAATCCGATTGAGTTGTATCCATGACCAGAAGGTACCCCTAGAGATTACTGCCCGTCTGATTGAAGAAGACATCTTTCAGTACGTCGGGATGGAGTTTCTGCCAGATGAACTCAGTGGAGACATTTCCTCCGAACTTATTCCGCTCTGAGGCTTTTTACAATCCATATTGTCTACGGTACCCATCGCCACAAACATCTGCGTATATCGGGCATCCGTCCGGTCAGTCCTATACGCCAGTGAAAGTTAAACTGTGTGGTAGATGCGCTGGAACAACACAGGGGCCACATCGGATTCTGGTAGGCGTTATTGGATTTGCGCACCATAACAAATGCCAGAATTTCTGGGTGCAGTGGCAGAGCCGGTTGCTGGCAGGCGTCGCGCACACTGGCACCCCTGCCGTCCCCCCACTGTTTTTGTTGCTCAAAAACCTGGTCATTTGCTGTGTGGACCGGGGGGTGTGGAGTGGAACACCGAGGCGCGGGCTCGACCGTGTCATCGACCTGTGCCCTCCCCCGTCTGCGGTCTTCCTGTCTTGACACCGGGTCCCGGTGGGGTGGGAGAGAGTGCGGTAGACGCTGTAAAAGTCCAATGCCACTATAAGCTCACGCACAACTCACGGTGGACATCGTCTAAACCAACGGTCGAACTCTTGTGTTGAGGATGAACAAGAATTGGAGGTCAGACCCCGTTGACTGGGAACTATCTTTCGACTCAGGTACACTGATTCCATGCCGAATGGGACAGTCCGCACTCAACGGTATCTGAGGCTATCCAAGAAAATCGACCAAGGTAGTCTGGACGCGTTTTTCGTCGTCCACCGTGTGAACTCAGTGTTATTGCTAACGAAGAGAATGGGTCTAGTTCGCCAAATTCGCTGCCGCATATCATCACGCGTGAAATGGTACAATTCGCAGCATCATTGAGGCCAGCTGCATCAAGCATGATTACATTCGTACCACGTATAAAATCGGGGCTTTGCGTATGCGTTTAAGACTACGGACAATAGGATCCTTTGAGTGCTCGATTAGCACATCTATGAACCGCTGAACACTTGAAAGCCTGCTCTGGAGCTGAAAGCATTGAGGTAAATAGATACCGTGCTTACACGTCCTCTCCTCGCTTATTTAGTTCCCTCTTACAACTGCCTGACGCCTGCTACCTTTTTGCCCCTTAGGCAGAAGCAACTCCTGCGACCATGGAATCCGCCTCGCGCAAAGATCAGTGAAGTACCCGGTGCCCTGGCTCGTAACATCAAGATGGTCTCCCAGACCAAGAATAGTAACTAACACCTGCCGGGCTTGCCCTTGTGTATAAATCAGCTATGTATGTATGTGTATTAAATAATAGTGAAATAATGACTAGAAAATGGAATTTTCTCAGGTCTGATGGATGCGTTATGGGTCTCTGTTGTTTCTCGGCTGCACCGTTAAGGCAGTCCAGGGTGTGATGGGCAGTCTGAGGGTGAGGGGGGGGCAATTTCTTGCATGCAAAAATGACGGTCGCTGGCGAAGATAATAGCGGCCAATTCAGACCTTTTGGGTAATGTGAAAAGAGGAAGAGGAGTAAACAAACATGAGAAAGCATGTGTTTATCGTCGTCCTTGGTACCATTGCTCTTATCCCCATGGGTTGAGATGTGGAGTTAGGCGTCGCGTAGTTGTGAAGCGGGGCGGATGCGTCGCTGTGGCTAGATGACAGCCATAATGCGTTGTGCCAGAAAGTCGGGGACAGCCAGTTCCGTGCTGAGGAGGCGGTACATTTCTTCGCGGTAGGTGTAGCTTTGGGGCACCCACTCGAATTTCGTCTTCTTCCTTCGTCCTCTCCTGTCTGTTTCTTCATCCTCATCGCTGGCCGCGTTCTCGCGTCCCTCATTCTCCTGCTCATTTCCCTCTCCTGATTGCCTGTGCTCTTCGCCGTCATGATTACCCTGTGCGCTAGTGTTCCCCCCGTTGTCGTCCCCGTCACTAGCTCCATCTGACTCCCTTAATTGCTCCAATTGTCGCAGGTTTATTACCTAGTGAAAACAGGAAATATTTAGTGAAGATCGGTTTTCCGTTCCAAACTGACCGTAATCAATGGTTTACAGATCGGACGACTCAGTCTACGACGGTGGCATTGGTTCTCCGTGGTTTAACAAAATTGGCTGGAACGCTGGACTTATTTTGTATTCGAGATTGCTCATCGTAATCTGTTTGAGTCTGCTCGACATTAAAGGTGGACAAAAGTTAGCAGAAAACATTTAGCCAGAACCTATCCAGAACATCCGATCGCTGAGACGCTGGTCTTGTTCGTCGATGTTCCCCACCGCACCTGGGCCCACTATTAGAGACCGAATACGATATGAAGATGTGGTTGTTTGACAACCACATACCCGATGTTTTGCAGGCTGTCTCGGCTGTCAGTTCGCTAGCTTCCATTGCAGGTGTCCATACCTAACTGACAACGGTTTAGCAACCTCGTCTGTCAGCACCCAGGCGTCTTACACACGCACTTACTGCGTACCGTCGTTTCAAAGTTGTGCGGCTGTGCAAGCCAGAAAGTTTTGCGTTAAATGGTCAATTGCGAATGGGGAAACCATGACTGCCGGTCACCATCCCTCACGAGGACTTCCGTCTCGCCTCTAGTGCCGAGTGAGTTTGAAGTTGACGACTGGTGTTGCTCATCATCGCTGACCTGTGTCCGATTATCCGCGTTCTGAGTCGCCTTTTAGCTACCAACACCGTCATTTTGCCCGAAACCGCATCGCTTATGGTAAAAGACCCTCAACGCGTAGTGTCACAGAAAGTCTCCAGTGATTGTCTCGGGTCTGTGTCCGGTCCGGACGTGTTAGGCGGATAGCCACTTCATAGACGTCCAGCCGGAATCTGCTCTACATTTGGCTAGGATTCACCTCGGATTTGCCAGTCAGTGTAGTTGTCCAGTAGTCATCTTGGATGAGTGCTCTTTAAAAGCGTTAAAATTCCACAACTGTTATCTCTGGCTGTTCAGCAGCCCGTCTAAACAACCTAATACAGGAACCTCGTAAAACTCCAAAATTTATCAGGAAACCGATGTCCTGGATACCTTGGTTTTGGGGACATTTCAGTCCTTACGACAAACGGGAATATGGCGAAGCGGTGCTTCGTGCCAATTGGTGTTCGGATCGCACGCGGGCCCGAGAAAACCGTCTGACACCTGCTGGTGGGGGAAAAATACCTACTGCCTCAGAATGGCATGTTAGAAGTGGTAGAAAAAGTTAGAGGCGTGGACTTCTAACTAACAGGTCGCGAGTTCGAGCCTCGGGTGTTCCACACTTCGGGGTTGGGTATGACTGGCTGACGACGGCCAACAAGCCAGAAATGGCCATTCCAGTCTCCCTTTTGTTTGTCGGTAATACTATCCTGCCGGTAGAAAAAGTACTAAGGACGAGAGTGGCCAACTACACAACAGTGGGAAAAAGTGGCAATAGTTTACAAGTCGCCGAGACGGGCTCAGACCTGAATAAGGCCTAAAAGAGTGACAACCGCGAGTTTCTGGGGCCGTGGTTCTCTCTCTCTCTCTCCTGGAATTGGGAATTTAATGCAACGACCTATACAGGTTGTGTGGCGTTAGAACTGCCTGGGCAGTCGACAAACGAGGCCGCAAAAAGACTCGTCAACTAAGGACACCTGCAGCCGATGCTCTACCGGTGACTCAAATCCGGCCTGTCAATCACTGGGTATGCGGCTGCGCGACAACTGCGTTCCATAAATCAAGCATCTGTGTTTCACCCCCTCGATCTCTAAGACTGGATTATGAATTCTAAGGGAATACGTGCAATGGTTCGCCGATAGAATAACTTTCTATGAGGGAATGTTTTGATTCGTCGAGCACTTACCACTTTTCGAGTCCCGTTTAGACGGACCGTCGACAGTCCGTGGCTGGGGATTTAAATTATCACAACAGCGCCACAGAATAAATGCAGTTGAACGGACCAATACGGTAGCATATACTTGTAGAAGCAATCTATTTTGTAACAGAATTAAAACGTACTCAACGAAGGCTGTTTCGGTAAGGCCCCAAATATCTTGCCGTTCTCTCTCACTGAAGACGTCGGCATGGCACAGGCATCCAGATGACAGTGTCATGACAATAAAGGTATAAGAGTTAACTAGAGAGGCAGGTGTACAGAGTGCATATGCCACGTATAATCTTGGCCACGGATAGACAATTCGTGGGCAAGTCAAAGGGCAAGGGTAGGGGAACGGAGCGCATTAGGACAGAAAAGTCCCCGAGGGTGGGAACATGGCCTCAAACGCCAGTTTGGAAAGTAGCTTTAATAGAAACCGATATCTAGATGCGGCAAGAACTACCAAAGCTCATCTTCGGGAAAAACTGACAAAGTGGACACTTATTGGGACCGTACCCCTCACACTTACGGGCGACCTCCCTCTGAACTGACAATGACCGAGTTCGTACTACAGCCGTCTGCGGCGACGGCTAACAAGTATCGCTTTTCACGACGTGACGTGGATCCCGTCACATTTATGAGACTGCTTTCACCGTAGATTTTCTAGTCTCATATGTGTCCACTTCTTCGTAAGCCAAACCGCAGGTAGTTCGTAATCAGAAGTCTACTTGCTTAAATAATGACTGACTTCATAGCTCTTTGGCAGTAATTCTAGTATCCGAATCAATTAAGAGGGGAAGGGGTGAGGAGTTCAGCCGAATATAAATAAAAAACGGCAAAATCATCACACCTCTATTCCCGTTTATATGGGGTCATATGGGATTAAAAAATTCGAAGCCGGTAAACGAACGTTTTCAATTACTCATCATCTGACCGCTGGAACAAGATGCGTGACGGTAGGAAAATTAAAGTTGAAAAATAACCAATAGGCATTGGTGATGGGGGTGAGCTGAGGGTGTTTAGACATGTTCGAACAGGGTAAAGGAATTACAGACTTGTTTTGCGAAGGCACAGGGGGAGGAGAGAGTGTGCCAGTGAGTTATGTTTGTGGTCCGCCCCTGTAACGTGACGTGGTAGCATGTGGGTACGAATAAGTTCTTACAGCAACGAAAGACGTATATAACCCGCCGCCGGACACTCCCTCTCCACTGGCCCATTGACAGGACTAGACCGTAATCCCTCTCCCCTGCCTGGGCACCCTTTGCCCCATCACTATTGTTCATTGGTTGCTTTCCACCCTTCGCTGCCACACAGTGACGTAAAATACTGCACCGGTCTGATGGTGGACAATTGAAAACGCACGTTTCCCGGCTTTGCCTTCTTCAGTGCTTATGCGGTATCTTCAAAAAGTGGGGAAAATTGTACAGTTGACATACGCGAGTGCGAGGATTAAGGATGGAGGCGAGCAGAGCCATGTAGGGTGAGTAGATCCGAGCCCGCGTGCGCCCCCAATCCACTTCGCGGTCCTGACCCTGCGTCTGTGACTCCTGGGGAGGGTCATCGCTGCTAACAAGAGTGGCTATCAGTCCAGAAGCCTCCGTGGCTGGACCGCTCTCTTCCTCACAGCGCTTCTTAGACGGTGAAGGCTCTCGTGCACTAAACAATTCAAAAATGAATCATGGTGGCGGCGGCGGCGATTATGATGGTGGTTGTTGTGGTCGTGGAGGAAGCCATGGTGGAATAAATTGCAATAGTGCTGATTTCTGACCCTTCAGGGATAGTTTCCTGCATCCTCCCGATTATTTTTTACTTGCGTAAAGGCGGGAGGCAATGTCATCCACTGAGTAATAAAAGGTTTTTCTACTTTCTTTTCCCACTAACAACTTTGCCCCAAGCATTTGTAATTTCCTAATCGGCGAGGTTTTTAAGCAAGGGAAAACGGATAAATGTGTTTTATTCAACTTACTCGAGTTCAGGCTCTCGTCTCTTACTCATTGCGTTGGGCGCCTGTGAACCCAAAGAGGACGAAGCAGAGTCGGAGGAAAGGGTTGCAGCGTCTGGCGTAGAGATACGGTTTGCTGAGTCAAGAGTCCTGTCGGGTTCATCCGTGGCCTCTGCCACCTTGTGGTCAATTTCATCTATTCTAATTGGTTCTTCGTTAATACGCCGCAAATGGTCTCCGTTTGTGAAAACGGCCTTTACAGGGGCGTCAACCGATGCCGTCTGCTTTCTATCTCCCTCCTCTTCCTCGTCGTCCGACACTTCCACGTGCCGGCCGAGAACAGGGGGACCCCCTCGACGTGTATTGATGATGCGACGAAGGATGCGCCGGATGGCGCGTGAAGCCAGTCGCTCCAGCCGTTCTACTGACCTCTCTGGAACTGTCAGCAATCAAAAGTGGCATACACTTCTGAGATATATGTATGCGCAAAAACTGAAAAGCTAACGGTGCCGGCACATGGGGGTTTACGGGTCATGAGCATAGGGGCTAAATCTTAGAACCGAGGGGCAGGGCCTCCGCGATTGGCAAAAACATAATCCACCTACAGGACCGCATGAGTCTTTCTGCAGAGCCTTAAAAACGCCTTTAGAGTACGAATTCCGACGTTTGAAGCAGGCTGTTGGCTCAGAGACTGTAGTTGAGTGGGAGACTTAGACGGCGGTGGCGGAGTCTGCATCTACCGCTCAAACTTCAAAGACGTGTTACTATTTTACGTAAGTAAGAGGACCGGACAAGCAATGACAGCGTATGTTTGTCCCAGTTGACCGGCTTGTACATCTGGACAAACAAAACTACAACAAGGGGTGCTGCACATACAGTGAGTGATCGACCTCGTGAAACATTAGCCGAAACTCTGAAATGCGTTTTCGATTAGGCAAGATTACTTAGGTGGGGTTCCAATACTTATTGCCATGCGGCATAATTCTATGATATTCGGACTCGCCAGGATGCTGGCTTTTGAATGCACTTCTCTTTGATCTTCCGTAAAGGCTGCACTTCTTACAAAATGACTACTTAAGTAGCGTGCATTTTCACATTGGTTTTCGATGGCCTTATAAATTCAAACACAGTTTGCAGAAAACATGCACAAAAACGTGCTTCCCCTTACTCACTTGGTAGCAAATCGCGTCGTCCTTGCATTTTATGCTCGAAGAGTGTCGCGCGGTTTTAAAAAAGTTTTTAAGTATGAGATTTTTAAGACTGCAATGTTCAGGCGTGCAACATCATATTTGCCCGTTTATTAATGCCCCTCATGACGCATGCAACATTGTTCACATCCACTGCAAGATTTTATAAACACTACATGTCTTCTTAAAGGCACAGTATAATATCTGACTTTTCTTACGCGAGAAATATGCATTTTGTGGACCAAAATAGCTAAAGGTTAATGCGAGGGCTGATCTGGCTCAAAATTATTCGGGAATGGGAAAACTGCCAAAACCTAAAATATACCCTTTCTTCGAGCATAAAATGTGGAGGGCACGCAGCGCAAAGTCCGAGAACAAAGTGAACGAGTGGATGGAATGCCTTGACAATGCTTGTCCCACGACTTTAACTCCCCTGCTCCTACTGCTCCAGCAACACCATGCGCGCATGCGTACACACACGCTCCGCGAGAAGTTAATTAATTGCCATTAGCAGACACAGAGATTGATGGAAGGTAGGCGATTGCGTTTTCTATTTTTTACCTCCTTATTTCGGTTACGTTTTGCATCTTTCAGTCGACGAGGCACAGGTGAGAAAAACGCATACACAGCACCCGCAGGCAAACCGCGGAGTCCAAAGGCATTTTTCGAAACTTAAAACAGACGCCCCTTTGTAAATCTCAGCATCAGTATTACCAGTAATAGTAGTAATACTAGTAGCAGTAGCAGTAGTAGTAGCAGTAGTAGCAGTAGTAGTGGTAGTAGCAGTAGTAGTGGTAGTAGCAGTAGTAGTAGTAGTAGTAGTAGTAGTAGTAGTAGTAGTAGTAGTAGTAGTAGTAGTAGTAGTAGTAGTAGTAGTAGTAGTAGTAGTAGTAGTAGTAGTAGTAGTAGTAGTAGTAGTAGTAGTAGTAGTAGTAGTAGTAGTAGTAGTAGTAGTAGTAGTACGAATAGGAGGCCGATGGTGTTTGGCGAGGATATACGCCTTGTAAGAGTGACAGGCCCTTTCAAAAGCCTATTACATGTGTCGGTCGCTCCGTACGGCCCTTTACTAGCATGAAATGTTAGTCTTTAACTCCTTGAAACCATGCTCTTCTAAGCGGCCACACTGCGGCGACCACTACCGGCGACGGGCTAAACCAAGTATGGATACCCGATGTGCTTGTATCTCCAAGCCACTCCTTACGGAGAAATCGCAAATTATGAAGCACTGGACTGATCACTGAGCCGTCCTCAGCTGCCCATCCAGGATCTCCGACGCCGGTATCGACCGGTCCCCCAAGGCGGATACGAAAAACCACCTGGACCTGCCTTCTTCCTGCCAGAAACTATCAGGGCCTTGCAACAACTCCTCACTAGGAAAGCACCGGTATCCGATGCGATCCCGACCGAAGTCTACAAGCACCACGGATCCCGACTGATGGGCAACGATGTTCCAGGAGATACAATACGCCGGCAGGTAAAGACAGCACTGAACAAAGCACGCATGCGTTAAGGCAATCTTCAGGAGAGATACTGAAACAACGTCAAAAGTAGAGATACTACTGGAGACCACTCTGAAGTTTGAGACTTGGCGTCTTCAACCAAGAAATTCATGATATGCGAGAATAAATGGCCAACTGGCGCGATGCTATACCAGAGATACAGTGGTAGGAGGTTAACACTGTTTAATCACTAACCACAGCTCCGTGTAAGAAATCAAACATTAAAAGGCATGCCATAGTAAACATTCAGACAAAGAAAATCGCCCTTTGGAAAGGTTAGAAAGGATTCCAACACTTACGGGGATCGATTTTGATGGCGTTTTTTCCAGGTGGTATTAGAGAAGCGAAACTAACGCTGAGGAGGCTGTAGGCAGAGGTCTTGTTCTTGGAAGTCCGAGTAATTTTCATAAACTGAAGCGAGGCAGATAAGTCTGGTTTTACTGTTATAATAGGTGCAGTCTAATAGCTTGGTAGTCTGATGACAATTCCATGACACAGAGCCAGTTCACTGTGATGAGCCAATGTTGAAGAGAACGAGGGTGACAAAAGTCTCTATGTTGCACTGTCCTCCACGGCACGGCGATGAATATGCTCATCAGAACGGACAGACAGACTTACAGGAATAGATCGGCATAGACTATGGGAGCCCAAAGGAAGGTGCGTTAGCAACTACGGGACCCTAAGAAGGACCCCATAGTTTGCAGGTTCAAAGAGATAAAATCAAACCAAGGGGAGATAGGCCTACCTTGCGCGGTCCTCGCACACCACAATTCAACTGATGAGTATATGAATTACTAAGCCATAAAAGTATTGACAAGGTAGGTTTTCAGCTAGCTCCATACTTCGGTCCTTGTGACTGCTGGCAGAGCCTTGACAGTTTTTTAATTTGGCTGTATCATAAACTTCACGCGTAGGATATCCGAATGAGTGAAATCTTTCCGAGAATTCCGGGACCAACCCGTGTGTGGCACACGAGAGATGGGGAAGAATGTCTAGCCAGACCCTTTGCCAAATCCTATTTCGAACCTAATCTTTTTACTAGAGTATGATGGCTGTGGGAAGAACTAAGTCGAAGCTGTGTTAAACGCAAGTTCCCATTTCTACCCATAGTGGTGGTGATTCTCGGAGATTTAAGGAGGAAAATTGTCGGTGGCGCTAATGGTGGTATTGTTTGAGGCGATGATGGCGATGGTGATGAGGAGTAGGGAGGAGGAAGAGGAGAAGGATGATGCTCATCATCATCTCCATCATCATGACTGCAGTTTCGGCCCTTTAAACGCCGTAATAGCTTGACAGTAAACCAATTACTCACCCTGTCATTCACGGGGGCAATCATGAATCCGTTTACTTTAAGCAGTCTAAGAATGGCGCCTAGCTGAGCTTGTGAAGTGATTGCCGAACCCACGTAAATCCGATCGTACATGGGCCATACGCTCGATGTTGCGGGCAAAGGCGATGTTGTAGCATGATGGAATTGGGGCACTTCTCTTGTCTGGGTTGTCGCGGGTGGAAAAGGCACTTCAATTAATGGTGGCATTTCTATTATAATATCTCCACTGCAATTTATTACGGGTTCATGGTCGACTATTTCATCATCTCCGACGTTGTCATCATCTTCCTGATCGTCTCCATCTGATTCGGAGGTCTGAGATTCCCCGTCTTCCCTTGGGTTTTGAGTTTCAGATGATTGCTGGCGGATCTCTTCCGAGAAATCAGGAAGACCAGGACTAGGTGCGCTAAGGATAGGACTGAGGGATGGAAGACGGTCTGTGGTAGTCGTTTCCACGAACACTGCTGGGGAGCTTATCTGGGGACTGATGGGAACCAAAGAGAAAATGTTGCCAAGGATAAAGTGCGGTGGGCAGAAGTCGCATTCGTATACGGCGTCCGAGGTAGCCATGAATTCTGCAAGACGTGACTTGGCGAAGGCAAAGTTAGAGGCCGACACCTCTATCCCGTGATTGACGCCATTTGAACCTATGCCAAAATGGATAACAGGCAAACCCGTGAGGTGAAGTTAGTTATCGAAAAAAACAGTCGAAAGTTCTACAACAGTCCCCAAAAATGTGTTGCAGAAGGGATGAGATGACTAGAAATCAAAGGAGTACTCTATGAGATTGACAAGAAGTGCAATATAAAATAGCTATGATGTAGGCGTAATGTTGTAACGGTCAATATATCCCCTCCCGATGAGATATCTAAAGATGTAAAGTTAGCTAGTTAATACATCCAGACACAAAGAAAGATGTGGCGCTATTAAGGCTCGCGCAGCTGTACTGTCAAAATAATGGCTCAATTAAAACTGTCCACCTGAGTTTCCCATGCCAGCGAAACATCAGAGAGCAACATGAAACAATAAAATTGTTTTTATTTTTGAGGTCATTAATCCGAATGGTAAGCTGCCAAATAATCCGTAACCCTCACGCCCTCATGCAGTTAACAGGACCCAGCCGGTCATATTCGATCAGGAAGCATGAGACAAAATGGCTAAGTATAAAATACATCAAGTTAGTATACAGGTGTTGGGTCGACAAAAATCACTTTGGTTCAATTACAGCATGGTACTGATTTACTTCAGAATTTCAAAAGCTGTCAAATCTTGGGTCATGTGAGCGAAATAAAGACACGATTCTGAACGATTACTGTCATAAGACACTTACAGAATATTACGAAGCGGTGGCTGAGAAGTCACAAAGGACAAGAGCAAATAAATCCTCCAGGTGAGCTGTGCTAATAAGCAGTAACCTTAGTTACTATACCCCTAATAACAATTCGGACTCAAGTCGACCTCGAGTCTACGAATTCGGCTGCCTACAGGCACACTAAATTCGAGTTAGAAAATTTGTCGAAAAAGTACGGCGTGATGACTCCGGCAGTTTGAAGTCCTTGATACGTAGGGGTAACTACTTGCGGCAAGACTGAATACGATATGTTTTAAGAAGTCAGAACTGGCTCATGCCATCTGTCAATAGGTCTGTAAATTTCAAAAGAAGAATGAATAAGAGGCAATTTGGAGGTTCGTTGTGGGTACAGCCAACCTGGCAATTCACCGTATCTCGCCCGTATCTGACATGGCAGTACCATTTTTTTGCCCCCCCCCCGCCCCTCCCCATCCTATATAGGATGCATTTGCATAGGCGTCAAACGAAAATAAGATATCAAGGCGATATCCTTTCAGCAGTCAAAATCGAGGTCCATTCGACGTCCCTATCTCGATGAATCGATATATACCCAATATCGAGAAGATTTACCCTTGCTATTGGGTTTTTGGATCAGGCTAACGATTAAATTTACATATAAGTATGTTGAACAGGACGGAAGAAACGCTGAAGCTCGGTGCGCGCATACCCAGCACAAGGCCGAACATTGTACTCAAAAAGCCAGTTCCACTGCCAATGTTGAGAACTGAAATCCCAGGTCTCAGTTTCATTTCTCGAAGAACGGTGCAGTATATGCTTGGAGAGGATAAATGCAAATTTCCGGACCTCCATGCGGAATCGCTGTATATGCGATCTTTTGGTTTTGTTGAATAGAACCCTCTATCTACAAGTCGCAAAATGCGTTCGAGATCTTTTGGGAGTTCACATGTTTCCATCAAACTATCAACCAGACTTTGATTGTCCTTAAAACAGCTGACACTCCCACCCATTTTTGAGTAATTGAAGCCTCAACCACCAATCATAAACGAGGTTCGGATTTCAGTGGCTTAACTTGGCGAAGGTCTATCTTATTCCGTTGCATGATGACAGCCAAACAGAACTTCCACCTCCCGTTTTGTTCTAGTCAGAAATTCTCAGAGGATGTATATTTCCTTAGACATCACACTGAAAAGAATGGCAACTTAGGTAGATCAACCACATGGACAATCATAAGTTGATCGTACAATGGATTGCATTTCGCTATTTTCTACTTGCAGACTAAATGGCAATCTCTTTACTGTTCCCACGGCGTTTGACTTTTACATATGAATCCGAAAATCAGGTTTGGCTGACTGATCTACTGTGTTAGGAAATTAACTCTGTAAAAGCTCCTCCCCTACAAAAATGCGATTATCACAACAAGGAAACAATGCCGTCTTAGATTATTTCAAATTTATCTGATATTTTAATGGCGGCAGCCGGTGGTCTGTAGCTCTTTTACATCTGTTTACCTCAATTTCCTCGTAATTTTCCTTATACCCAGTTCGCTATCATCAAAAGGGACCAAACACTGACGATGCCAGGAGTTTATGAAGTTGGTCAGAATTCTCGTGAGTTGCTGCATGACTTGTTCATTTTGTTTGTAGCCATACCTCCCTGTAAACATGCATGTTGTCTCTAGAATATTTCATCCTCTTCGACAGCCGAGGTTTCTACAACCCTTGAATTCGAATAGTCTTGCAACGTCTTCTTGCAGTTATCGGAGAACTCCAAGATTTCTGACTACCAATCAAGGCGCTCAACCGTGCAACAAATACTATGACAAACTGTTGGTGATTTTTCGGCGAACAGACGCGCCCTGGTTTATTTTTCTGCCTCTATCGTTCGAAAACTTTGGCGGCAGCCTCTGCTCCGCCGATTCTTCACTGGATCACAAGACCGGACCGTTGCCGGCATCCACCTCTACCACCTCCTTGGCCATTCTGTTAACTGCCACAAGGAAAATCAGCCTTATGATTTGAGTATTAAAGTTTTCACTCCGGCAACTATTCATAGCAGCAATCTTGTTCGACATAGCTTATTATCTTACGGGTAGCATGCAATCTTGCCGATGTCTTCCAGATCATTTTTTAAGCTGCCCTTATTGTGATGTGTTCGGCTCCAAAGCCCGACGCGGTGGGCACAATCAACCTCGTTATTTACTTTATCTTGCGCTGTTTGCCTCGGCAGTACCATTTCTCCGCTCCCTCCTTCCCCCCCCCCTCTTTCACTAGACAATTGTATTTTGTAGATCAGGCCGAACAGACATTGACTGACAGAGGCGCGAGTGATTTCTTGGGCCAATCACTCATTTGCCGTCATCTGCATTGGCAAAGAAAGCTCTTACATGCACCTCTCAAATTTCGGGCGGCTTAGGGCACTAAAATCCTTATACCAGACCGTCTAACCCTATATTTTGCTAAAAGGAATCCACATTAGCCCGCTTCGTCGTGGTGGCATCAGTCCATCGCCCTTAGATTCCGATGGCATCATCTCCAAGAGCAACGAGCTCCAGTATCATATTTTCCGACCACCTCGATGATTCTGACTGCATGCAAATGTCGGTTATGTCGGCTGCAACTTTAGCATTTTCGCAAGTCCACGTAATTTTACCAACCCCGACAGCTGTGCTATTAAAGGCATACGCAGACCTCCATGAGTTTCCAGTGGCCTTCACTGTACTGTCCGAGCGATCAACAAATACCATACGCCGTAGGCGCTATGTACAGCCTATTATGGATACCGGGTACCATTAAACTCATAAGACAACCACAACGACATCTACCGACCCCGTACCGCAACAGAGTTAGCAAAATACTCGATCGATTTCTTCAAGCCAGCATCATCCTCTTTGTTCCCTTGGGTGCCGTCCATAACACAAGCTCCAAAGAAAGATGGCGCACTCCTCCTCTGTACTGATGATCACGGTCTGAATTCCGTCATATCATGCGCGGTCCTGACAGCTGTCTTGCTCCTGGAGACTTTTTCCAGTCAGAAGTCTCAGCGAGCCCTTGAGGGCATCCACTCAAACTTGGCTTATTGGGGCGATAAAATAATTCGACTGTCGTACCGGACGATGTTCACCGGGTGCTCCACAGCAAGGTTAAGTAGGGACGCGACTTGCACGTGTGTTAGTTTACAGTGTGGGTGGACTTGCACGGCACACATCGCACTCTCTCCTCACCCAACCGGACTCGCCATCAAGACGTAGTCAAGAAGGCCGGACGTGAGAGAGGGAGCATTTGGCTGGTACGGATGGACCCGCACCTGGGCTTACCATAAAAATCCCTGGTCCACAACAAACACTTGACCAGAACTTTAATTACCGGCAATATTTGGTCGGAAGGAGGAGAATGGCACAAGTCACTAGGCAGCCATTCACACGGCCTGCATACCCAGCGGGAGCGCAAGCGCGTCCACCGACAGGGAATTAGGTGCCAGAGAACTGCCAGAACACATAAGGCGGCGAGGACCATCGTCTGTTGAAGTGTGGCGTCGCATACACACACAATCCTGGGGTGACATACTCCTGGGACTCTGATAAGCTATGCTCTTCCTATTGGCCTCAGCTAGGTGACCGTCTCGAATGGCGGGCTAAAGCAGATGAGGGTAATCGGTGCTGTGTGTTTCCCCACCCGATAATTCTGTTCCATTCCGCCCCCTCCCTTCCTCGCGTCCCATCCTTCTCTCTATACCTTATCCCTTTCACTTCAAAACTGCCCACGGAGGAAGCAACATGCACGGCCTTCTAACCAACACATTCTTCCGCCTCCCCATGCCGAAGAAGGCGACCCGGTTGTACCCCCAAAAGCGACGCAGAAAGCTGCTGGACAGCGTTCTTTTCCAGAGACGAGATCGACATGACGTGTTGGTGACCAAGACCGTCTGCTGTGCCGGCAGCTGGACGAATCGCTGCCTCGTCATCTATAAGGCAAGGCTCCGACTACAACCCCGCAGGAGACTATAAGGTATGCGACCGCAAGATAAGTTAAATACTGCTTTGTTGAATCTATCAGCCCACCGATTACATTTCAGCAATGGATTACTCCAGTACCTGGACGTACTGTCGACCCAGACGACAGTATCACCGTGGGGATTCCATGGTGTCAACTGCGGAACGCTTTCCACACCACCATCATCATAATCACCACCACAGTAGAAGTCCTTGGTAGCTCATATCGCCACCATCAGGGCCGGTTTGACGATCGCGACGCAGACATCAGCAACCTGCCCGCCGAATGACACAGGCTGCACAAAGCTCCCGTTAACCACTGGACCGACGTAAACAAGACGGTCTTCTCTTGATCTCATCGCCTGGTGAAGCGACGGCTGCCTGGGATGCAGGATGCCTGGACTGCTCGCGGTGCGGAGGAAATCCAGGGGTGGGTTGGTCGCAAAGAATCAAGGAGTTTTTTATCAATCAAGACGATCTACGTCCCTGCAACCAAAGGAATCGCGCAGCTTCGCAGCTACGATGGAAAAACACTTCTGTGAGAGAAACTGAAGATTATGAAGCGTTGGGCCGAGCGCTTCAGAAGCGTCCTAAGCCGTCCATCCGTAGTCTCCGACATCGCCATCTAAAGCCCCCACCCCAAGTTCGAGTGAACGATGAGCAGGATCCCTCGCCTTCATTACCAAGAACAATTCGAGGCTTGCAGCAACTCTCCAGCGGAAAAGCATTGCGATTCCGGAGGACGTCCACAAGCACGACGGCCTCCACCTGACAGATGACCTTACAATGCTATTCTAGGAGACGTAGTGCAGAAGAAAAGTGCCTCAGGACTCCACGGATGCGGTAGGCGTCCATTTTTCGTGAGGAAAGGGAGTCGACAATTTTATGGTAATCATGGAGAGATCTCGCAACCAAATATCGCCGAGAAGGTCTTCGCTCGCATGCTCCTGAACCATCTTAATGGACACCTCGAGCGGGGACCTCTCTCAGAAAAACAGTGTGGTGTCCGACGCCACCACAGGACCACTGACAAGGTGTTTGCCGCTCGCCAGCCACCTATGAAATGCCGGAAGATGAGAACCCACTTCTACACCATCTTCGTATACCTGACGAAGGACTCAGATACATGGAATCACGGGGGGCTGTGGAAAATCATGCAGGAATTCGGCTATTCCTAACGATTCAAGCGCATGGTTCTTCAGCTCGACGACGGGATGGTGGCGCGCGTCACGGACAACTGCGCAATCCCCGAAGCACTCGCAGTGACCAGCAGAGTGAAGCAGGACTGCGTACTCGACCCACCCTCTTCACCCTCATGTTATCTGCCATGCTGCCGGAAGTTTACCATAGTGAGTGCCCGAGATTCTCATCGCTTGCGAGACAGATGGTCAGCTTCTCAGTTTCCAGCAAATGCGGGTGCAGACGGGCTTATGTAGACTACCGTCCACGATCTGTTCTGGGCGGATGGCTGCGCGCTCAATACAGCGACAGAAGCTAACACGCAACGGAACATTAACCTTTTCGCCCCCGGCCGCGCCAACTTGCGGTTGGCCATTGGCACGGACAAAACATCAGTCATGCCACAGCCGCAAGCCGAAGCTGAATTCAACATTCCTCACATCCACGTCAATGACACTCAACTAGAAACCGTGAAATACTAAACCGACTTAGGTAGTACAGTCTCACGCTGCATCAAAATCGACAACGAAATCGCTCACCGGATCTTCAAAGCCGGGTAAGCCTTCAGCCGGCTGTAGAACTTCGCATGGAACAGCTGCAATCTCCATCAGAACACAATAATGAAGATGCACAAAACTGTCATCCTGAAGACGCTGTTGTATGTTGCTCATGGCCCAGGTAATCTATGAGAACCAACCGCGGAGGACCTATTTCTTTCGCCCCAGCTCTCTCCGACGGATATTAAGGCCGAAATGGCAGGACAGAATACTCAGCACATAAGCTCTGTAACGGGCCGGAGTCCTCAGTATCCACGCCATGATGAGGCAACTTCAACTACGATGGGACGGCCAGCTCGTGAAGATGGACGATGAGCGCATGTAAAAACAGTGCTATTAAACAAACACTACAGCACACCAAAACGACACCGACAAGGAGGTCAAAACTGCCGCCACAAGGACACCTTGAAGAACTTCTTGAAGTGCTAACAAATCAGCCCGAAGTTCTCAAAAGGCACAGAACCGCCAAGCCTGAGAAAAGCAGCGAAAACCGCAGCAGCGACCTCTGGAGGCGACCGGATCGCCACTGCCAAGATAAAAAGGGACTCGCAAGTTCCGGGCACCCCTGACACGCAACGTCAAATTCCAACCCTTTCCAACATACCCGGGCTGTCAGTGAGCGTCCTCCGTACAAATCTACCTCGTTGGACTTCTCTGGACTGAATCCACTAACAAGGCAACAATGCCAAATGCTGCTTCTATGATTGCATCTGCTTCAACGCAACGGCATTCACGACGACGACCACCGTCACCACTGACGATCCGAATTCCAGTAGCTCGCCGCCGCCGACCACCGCTTTCTCCATCATCCCTGTCACAACTGCCGCGGTGACCACCACATCTCACATTCATGCAACCGATCCAAACGCCCCGCGTTACATCCGTCACCCCCCACCGCCATCAACACCCCCACATCCAGCGATGTGGTTTCGGTCCTGACCTGTCCTTATTCCGTTTGCATCGGTCTGGTCAGCCAGTTGCGAATTCATCGCATTGAAGCCGACACACCAGTACCAGGAGCACCCACCTGCACTTGCCGCGTCCGCCATCAACATTCACGTCCATACACTCACCGCGTGGGTCTATTCGGTAACAAGCGTATCCACGACAACCGAATTCAACGCGGTACCAACACACATAATGCACCTTGAACATCCACCAATTATTCCATTCTCAGACCAATCAACTCCCCATCACCCAGCGCGACCACCATTAGGAGCAACAAAATGAGAAACGAATTATAATCTCCACATCTATGCTGCGCACACTGTCCCTGCACGTTCACCTCACACATCAGCTTGGCCGGTCCTTTGCCAATCCATCGCACAGACCGGTGAACCCGTGCTTAGAGCAACAAACTACACCAGACGCAATAGTCTCCACTGCCTCAGCATATTCAACCATTGCATTGACCTATTCGGTCGCATGCGTCCCCATAATAACTGGTGGTAAATCACCGAAGACATGGGAACATCACCGCACATCTCCCCCACCAATACAATCTCACGCACGAACACCTTCAACATCCCGTACCACCTGTCCTTCTTAAGTAAGCAGAAAAACATGCTTCTCGGCCCCTTTCTCTGTGCAACTTCTCTGCCGCCCTAACCCCAGACTTAAACTTAACCTTAATTTCGCTGAAAGTTGGCTCAAAGCGACCCGTTTTGCAGGCAGTCCCTATTTTTATGTCCTGTTTAGAGGGCCACATAAGCCAGTCCTACCAAAAAATTAATACGTTGTTTTATTTATTACCCATAAGGGCACTTTCATGATAGGTAGGAATACATTATAGAGTGAATTTTAGAACGAGTCGGGAGACACTGTACCGTGTTCAGTTTATGTTTATAAAATATTCTCCAAGAAGTCGCCGGTCACTTGTCCATACCTCTGGCAAGACTTTCTCGACGCATATTTCATACTAGAACTCTCCCCATCGATTGGAAGCCAGCACATATAACTCACGTTAATAAAAAGTGATAACTGGGAGTGGGTGACAAGTAAATGACATGTGAGCTCGACGTGCATCCTCTGCAAATTCATGGAAAGGATCATGGGGATTCACAACCTGCTATTGAACTAACAATGTAGGTTCTGGAAAGGGAGCTCCTACACAACCAGTCTACTACAATATCTCCCAAGCTGAATTCCAGCGTTCGAGGATAGGCATACCATCCATATATTCATTATTGATTCTCAAAAGGCCTTTCATGTTGGACCACTCCGGTGGCTGTTGCATAAACTGGGAGAAATAGCGCTTAGGAATAAATGACTAAACTTGACCCAAAAATTCGTCCCTAGCTTTAATGGTTTTATAGGCTAGGATCACCTAGTCCTACAGCCGTCGAGAGTGGGAATTTGCCAGGACTCATTTCTGGAACTCACTTTCTGATGCACAGGAATGCATACGTTCGACATTTTTATTGTGAGACAGTACTACTGGTGGACGATATTATGACCTGGAATTCAATCAGCAGAGCAGCCAGTGGACAGTATTTGCACAGCAACCTACATAAGCTGCAATAATAGTCAAAACTTTGTCCTCTTCGTCTCAACGGCTGTAATTGTACCATACCTTATGTGGGCTAAACCACTTAACTCCCCCGGTGGAGGAGGCCTCTTCCCCAACGCCTCATTCATGAAAGACGCAGTGTCCTAAAAGGAGTAGGTCTTAGAAGCCATGAGGCATTTTACAATCCAAAGTTAAAAGTATCGAATGAGTTCAGAGGACAGTCGCCAAAAGTGCTTAGGGGCGAAGCTCTTGGCGTTATGCAAGCCACCCATTATACCTAAACCCCTTTTCTCGGAAGTATAAGCAAAGGCAAAAGGACATCTTACAGGCAGTTCACGTTGTGGGTGGATTGAATTAAAGCTTGGTATTTGAATTGGTTCTTTCAGTATGCAATCACAACGGACTAGCAGCTTACCATTAAAACCTCGCGTTCAGCAGTCAAGACTAGGTGTGTGGATGTTCCCCTACTCTCTCGGAGGGATAAAACCATGGGGTTGGCTCCCTCAGTTGCCGCTATTTCCCTATCGATGGAGAGCTATAAAACAGCCTTGAAGATATGTGTAATAAAATGAGCCTTAACGATGATAGTTTGTATTATGCCCTTGACATTCGCAACGGACTTCGTTTTCCTACACATGATTCCACGTTGTGTGCTGAAAGCTGGATGCTCAATGGAATGTGCTTATTTTCCCCTCAATAGACTCAACCGGACTTTTAATGTGTCCATTTCACACATTTTCAATTTTAGCTTACAATCTGTCACACCATTTATTTTTCCTTTTATCACATCTTTACAAGGTTTTACTTTTAGACAATGCATCTTAGACGGTTTACGATGTAGTTGGCTTTAGTCAGTTTAAGTCAGTTTGTTAAGGGAATGAGGCTTTCGCCTTTGAGCTCCCTATTCATATCGATAAACAGAAATAAAGTCATCAATTACATCAGCAAATGCGAAAAGTTAAGAAGTTAGCGGTAAGTGTGAGCTAGGCGCAAACCGCTGCCGCTAAATCAATCATTATTATATTACAGTAGGTTCTCAACAAATGAGCGTCTAGTCTGAACTTAAAGGATTTGGCACTTTCGGAAAGAACGACGGCATCAGGGCGTCCATTCCATGCCCCGATGACCCTGTGAGAGAAGGCGTTCTGTCGGACGTCCGAATGAGCCCGCTTCCTTTGCAGTTTGAAAAGATGACCACGCAGACGCTCAGTCCGGGCCATTTCAAAGAATTCATCAAAGTCTAGGGCACACTCACGGCTTCTGACAATCCTGTAGGTTTGAATGAGATCGCCGCGCAGTTGCCTGTAATTTAGAGGAAACAGATTTAGTTCGGTCAGCCTGGTTTCGTAAGGCAAATGATGAAGATTCTTGACCATCTTCGTAGCCATCGTCTGTACTCTTTCCAGTCGTTGATAATCTTTCTTCAACCACGGTCGCCAGGCCTGGACTGCATACTCTAAGTGAGACCGGACGAATGCCCCATAGGTTTTTCCGAACAGCTCCTTGTCGATCTGCACAAATCCTCGCCTCAGCGCAAATAACACCCTTATCGCACTTTTGGCCGCCCTTTGACACTGTGAAGATGGTTTCAGCGAGGAGGTCATTAGGAAGCCCAGGTCTTTCTGTTCCACAACATTTGAAAGGGGCTGACCACCAAGGACGTATTGAAAGGAATCGTCCTCCTTACTGGTCCGTCTGGTGCGGAGTCTCAGGACCACACATTTGTCCACATTAAAATTGAGGAGCCAGCGAGCTGACCAACTGTTCAGGCGGTTGAGACTGTCTTGAAGCGCGTACCTGTCTGCAGCAGATCTGATGGATCTCCACAGCTTAACATCGTCAGCAAACATGATGGCGCTGCATCCCAGGTCGTCGACGCAGTCGTTAATGTAAACCAGGAATAGCAACGGCCCTAAGACGGAGCCCTGGGGTACACCACCTAGAACGGGAGTAGGAGTTGACCTTGAGGCCTCAATGCACACGGTTTGCGATCTCCCGGTAAGAAAATCTGTTATCCATGTCAGCAGCGTTCCTCTTATCCCCATTTCAGAAAGTTTGTAGATTAGGCGTTTGTGTGGGACGCTGTCGAACGCCTTCTTAAAGTCTGTGTACATGACATCAACCCTCCCATCCTCGTCCAGTGCGCGAGTCCACTGCTCCGTCGAGAGCAATAAACTGGAAAGACACGAGCGGTTCTGTCTGAAGCCGTGCTGCAGGTCTGAGATTAAATGGCCCTGCTCCATGAACTCCATAGTTGCTTTCTTAACTATGGCCTCCATTATTTTACAGCAGATGCAGGTTAGACTAACAGGCCGGTAATTGTTAGCATTAGTGCGAGCCCCGCCCTTGTATATCGGAAAGATATTTGCTGTCTTCCATTCCGATGGCAACCTCCCTAATTCGAATGACGAGCGGAAGATGTGCGCCAGTGGTTTGGAAAGTTCATTCGCCAGTTCCTTCAAGAATTTGGCCGGTATATTGTCCGGACCCGAGGACTTTGCTTCCTTGAGATTTTTCAGCTCCCTTTCCACGACAGCTATCGGGAACAGTATGGAGTCAAGCACGCGATCAGCAGTCTCAACAGCATTGTTAGCACTGCGACTGCGAAACTCTGTTTCTCTAGTAAAAACCGAGGCAAAATACTGTCCTAAGTGTTCGGCTTTCTCGCTGTTCTCAGTGATCTCTACACCATTACCATCCTTCAGCACCGCGACCGGGTCCTTATTTTTCAGTCTACTGTTAAGATAGTGAAATAAAATCTTAGGTTTCTGTTCAGCCTGTCGTATAATTTTGGATTCATACTCCTTCCGTGCCTGACGGATACACTTTTGGACGGCATTTCGTTGACGACGAAATTCTTCGAAATGCGCTGATGATGCAGTTTCCCTGAATTTTTTCCATCTTTTGCAAAAGTATTAATTTCTTGTATCAATCGGTCATAACAGACCGTTCTAAGGCTGTGACGAAGAGCCTGACGGTCCCGGACGAGGAGTATCTTCGTCATCCTCGGCAGTGTCTAAAAAAGTGCACTCAAGTTAATTTGGGTCAAAGTAAATAATAGATGCATGAGGTCTGATTATGAAAGGGTAACTAACCGTCCAGTGGGCGTGACGTAGATAGCTTATTCGTCCTCTTTTGTAGCCGATCATAGGCCCTTCTCAACATTAGACGAAAGCATTTCTCTAAATCATGCCGATCTGAAGGGTGATCGGCATTCCACCTATTGAACACATCTATGTAGCCGGTTGGTAAATGGGGAAATTATGTTTTAATACCTAGGACGAGTGAGTAGGCTGGGGAGCCGAAGAATGCGCTCTTCCCGTGTTGTCGACCGTAAAACATCAAATGATGTGTTATTTCATCTTCAAATAGGGCGCTGAAAACGCGGTCGACGAATGCGCTCAATGTCCGCCCTCCAAAACTAGCTAAGTGGCTAACCTATCCGAGAAATCAGTAGGTCATAAGAAACTTACCATCTGCTGCCGAAAATCGGTGTCTGTCAGTTTATTTGTAAATGGACGTACTCACCACTGCCCATTGCCGTCAGCGTTACGGAATTGCCTGGCACACCCAGCAGTGTTCGCGCGTCCGAGGGCAGATCCGGCGACAGCCTTCTGATAATCTTCAGAAGACTAGTCAGATGTACGAGAGGTATGTGTGACTGTACCGCCCACGACTGAAGAGCATCTCTTACGCTTGTCTCTTCAACAGGGGAATCAGTTGACAGGGTTGCTATGGACTCTACAGCTGTAGCTTCGTCGGGCTCCGTGTTCACTAGCGTTTTGGGAAAACCCGTTTCCTCTGCAGCAGAGGAAGAATCTGTTGCACTGGATGAGCTGTACGACGACAAAAAAAACCCAGGGATGTTGATACTGAGTCGGACGGATACATTTCTCGTATATTCTCCGCAATTTGCTGAAATTGCTTCTTAACAGCAGCATCAATACGTCTCCTTAATGTCCTCTTTGATATTTTCATCGACATTTACAAGAAAAAGAACGAGAAAAGGAACAGAAAGGGTTATAAAACGCGTCAAGTAGTAAACGCGGTCAGAGCAGCAACAGTTCGCGTGCAGAGGCGTGGGAGAGCATAAGGTGGCGTGTCCCAGCCGTCGCGCCAACGCATACGACACGGCCGATCGATTTGCCAATAAGCATGCACGCATTCTTTTGCGCCCTTGGCGACGCGACGGCCGGGGGTCCTGGGAACCAATCAATTTTCAGATACGATTGAGTGCCGAGGCTCTAATTAAGAATCGGCTTTCCTTGCTATTAGGGATACGAAGGCGTGTGGTCGTTCCAAAGAAAGTTCTGTCGGAGTTCCGTGTGGATCGTTAGAGGAATTGCTGATTAAGCTTCAATTTCTTAATCCAAATGGGCCCGCGATGCGTCCAGTAGGCAGAAATCCCGGAAAAGGCAAATCGCTCGGAGGTCGAAAATTCGAAACCGAATACTCGCTCATTTTGACCCTTTACAAGACCTTCGGATCACAGTGAAAGTCTCCATGTCAGGCAACCTAATCAATTACTTTTAAATAATTTGGAGTGGACATCGAAAATAGTATGAACTATTTAGCCGGGTTATTCTAGTCGTATTAATACAATTAAATTAAATAGTGCGATGCTGTTGCCAGCATTTTTAGTAATCTAATTTTATGCTCACGATTCTTGAGTAAAGGCCTAAGTGTACGCTTTTAGGTGACTAAATTTTCGTTCGAATCGTTTGTTTTCACATCTTCCCCTTCTTGGCTAGCTAATAGGTCAGCAGCAATGGTAATTTAGCGAGGACCGGAGTTGTAGAACTTGGAACAGTAGCTGTAAAGGAGAAACAATATAGAGACGTGTAACAATGAAAATTTCATGCAAGTGCCACTTATTCAGTTAGTCGTATCCCCCTCTGCGGGGAATTTTATAAAGGACACTTAAGGAAACGCTGCCCAGACGGGTACGAAGTAGTCAGTGATCACTGCTTGTATTTCCTTGCTGCCGAGATCTGGCGGTGGGCGCGCCAATGCAACCATCCCATTGTGGAAAGACACAGTCAGCCCCTAGAACAAACAGTGTGAGTTTGCCACTTATTTTGCTGCGATAGTAAACTATTAAAAGAAAAAAGATGCGTTCAACCGGAGAGATTTTTTGAGATCCGACTTTCCGAGTAATGACTTGACCTACTCATCTACAGAGACTGGTAATTTTTGTGCACAGTTCTGATTAAATAGCTCATTTTGCTTGTTACGCAGGTCGCCAGTGCTGATTGTGGGCCTGAATCGGACCGCCATTCCACAATGATCTGTGTCACCTCCGCCCTCGTTGACAGCCGCGATAATTGGCGGCCAGGATTGCTCATATCGTCAGTCTCCTTTCTAGCGACTTCGTAGAATTAGATAGAGAGGGAGGCGAATTAATATGGCGACTGAATGAACAGTTGGTGAACATCCAGACTTCTTGCACCCAACTTGATGTGTGACCATTGCCTCGACCCACAATCGCGACGCCTTCAAAATTGAAGATGTGCCCCACCCGTGCGACATGGGTTACTGCCTCTGACTTTGGGCCCAGTCTGCACACAGCCAAATGATGTTTATGAACTCGCGTTTGCAGTCTTCGGCCGGCTTCTCAAACATAGCTGCACCCCCCGAAACTGCACTGCTGTTAGTAGAAAACGGCCGATTGCTTCCGGTTACTGATAAGGAATTTTGGTCGCACAACTTTCCGCCGGTTTGTTGAGTCAGCTCTGTGTGCATTTTTTATTCCGAGTGGCCCGTTGGATCTAGCCACGGACTCGAAGACCCGCTTCATATGCGGAATGTCCACCATGATTTCGGTTGGCTACATTCCTCATTCTGCTTCCCTTCTGGTACTCGAATTCTCTCCGCGAATGCTTGAGGATAGGCGTTGACATTTAAGAGTTCCCGAAGGAACTTAATCTCGTCCCGTTTAGCAGCTAACGTGCTGCAATTACTTTCCGCCCGCAGCTATAGCGAGCGTACACAGATTCGTTTGTGTTGCAGCATGGGAGTTGCCGTTGTAACCGAGCACTTGCAGCGTGTTCGTTGGTTTTCTGAAGACTCTGGTCGCCAGTTTGCCGTCCGGTTGACAGCAGAGGAGAACATCCAGGAATGGAAATCTGGCAAGATCATATTTCGTAGCCGTACCTGTTACGGGTTAGAGGTTATGGGTTAGGGTTAGGGGTTAGGGTTTGGGGTTTGGGGTTAGGGGTTGGAATTTGGGATTGGGGTTATGGTTAGGGGTTAGACTGGGGCTTGTCTACTGCAGGTACGACTGCAAAATAAGATCCAGCCGGAAATCTGTTCTTCACTTTCTGCTCAGTCGTGAACTGTAGACGGAGGATGACCGAGGTCGATCGTTCCTTATGGTAGTTAATCCTGTTTGACCAATGAAGACGAAGGTGTCATCGACGTAGCGTGTTCGAAACTTGAGGTTGTCTCTTCAACCAGCTGCCTCTCGAGTTTTCGGAGAACCGCCTTGGTTACGAGCCCGGAACGTGGTGAACCCATCGGAGCGCCCTTCATTTGCTCATATGCGATTCCTTTTGAGGTTTATAATGCCTTGAGACGGTGCTCCTAAAGTTCTGTGAGATCCTGAGCTGTTGGCTGGTCATCGTTCTCATGGTAAGTTTGACGTAGCATTTCACTGAGTGTTCCGATCTAGAGGGTCTGCTGCATGCACGAGAAGAGTAGATTGACATCAAATAACACCATCCCCTCATGCGGTTCGATTGTAGCCGCCTTTGCTCTGTTGATGAATTGCTCTGCTGAGTGCCCCTCTACTTGTGAGGCAGCCGTTAGGAACCTCGTCTTTTGGAGTAGCCAGTTTGGGAACCCGTATGCGGAAGTGTCTCGGAAGGTGGCGATTAGCCGGAAGTTGGAAATCTGGTTTGTGTATTACCGAAAGGTCGTATGGCGATGACCTTATCTCTCTTCTGCTAATAATAATTTTTATCACATCAAATATCATTTTACAGACATCTGCAAAATATATGCGTTGTGAATGGAGCAAACTGTGAGAAAACAACTCCTGTACGTTTAGCCTTGTTTTGAGTAAGTTGGATTATCTATGAGAGATAAACTACAGCCCGTCAAATGACGGCAGTCAAGAACGAAAATAGTTGGTACGAGTATAGTGGGGCTTCATGGTCCTACTTTTTGTCGTGAAGTAGGGACTTTGTGCAGTAAAGGGTGCATGAGTGAGCATTTGCTCACCGCCAGAGGAATAATTTACTCGCTGGGAGGCGGGGTGCAGAGCCGGCACCATCCCCCTCGAAATAAGATCAGGCAAAGGCATAAAAGACCACGAACTCTATCACTGCGAAAGATGAATTCGCTGGATCTAGCATCCAGAAATTGAGGAATTTGTTCTGAATGCAGAAAGTTGGTGGTAGTTCGTTTAGACAAGGAATACTTTGCAGAATTTTCATGTTCCTAGGCAATTCTTCCCAGATTGAAATTGGGATAATAGGAAAGATCTGACAGTATTTGACTGTATCAGAGGAATAAATAAAAGGACTTCGACGTGACTGTTGCGTCTAGGGTGGTCGACATACTTTGAAGTAGTTAGGTAATCAAAAACACGGAAGCTCAACAGCCTAAACAATGAAAAGAGTCTCCTTTATAATCTGTGAAGCCAGAAGCCATCAAGGCTTATGAGTGCATAACGTTCTTGACATGTCATATTCGGGTGTTCTGAAGTTAGAATTCTTTTGGTAAAAAGATGTTGAACTAATTTTAAACTCTTTTAATCGCCAGCACGCACGAGCCTAAATAAAAACGGACAGTATTCCATACCAGGCCTAAAGTTCATTTTGTAGAGGTGGACTCTAATATCGCCAGTTCTGAAAGTCCATAGGACAAATAAGGTAGTTCTGCGTGCTTTGGAGACAGTCAGGACGCAATGTTCTGAAAGAGTAAGACTCTTTAAACAGGATTTACTCAAATCCCTAATAGCACCTAACACATGTATGTCGTGGCCTTCAATGCTTAGTTGAGGCTGATGATCGTCGCCAACAACCATAACTGTCGAATCAGAGTTCTCTTCACCTTCGTCATCAATGACTTTAAGCTAGCGGCGTCGGGGAATTTTTAGGACTGCCGATCGTTGAAGAGTGCCCGGACTTTGTTTCGGCAGTTCACCAAGTCGAGGACAGTGGTTGACTGGCCTTAGTCAGCAGGCGGAGTAACTATTTTGGTGTCAGTTTTCAACTCTCTTAGCGTTTTTTGTTCCTCTCTTAGAAAATGAAGGGATGTTTCGGCACGACATGAGCAACGAGGGGACTTAATATCCAAGGGGCTCCTGCTTTTCGTCTCTGGCGCCCGTCTGGTGTGGACTGGTTCGGAAGAAGCAATAAAAGTGGTCGGATTTGCGTCAGTTGTGCGAAGGCCGACCTACCCAGCAAGCAAATTGAGCCATACAATGAGAGCTATGTGCTGGACTTATCGGTATCGGAAGATGAGCAGGCGAAATCACTGCTTGAAACTTCAGATACTAAATAAACCTATCCAGGTGAAAGCCTCATTATCATTTTACATGCCACCCAAGAATCGTATTTTTCCTACTATTGATAGTAAAGAATATCTGAGCGCTTATTGCGCAATTTAGAACTACATGCTGCGAGACGCAGGGTTTGCAACACGCCAGTGGAAAACGATTTATTGAGCTCTAAATAAGTTAACGCTAAGGTTGATGTCAGGATAACGGAGCAAGTCAGCGTTAGGGTCACCTAACCCTAACCAAAACCGATAACGCAGATTACCGCAAAATCTTAACACTTTCCAGGGTCGCGACCACAATTTTTCCTTACTGAGATTTTTTCAAAAATTGTAAGCAGCTCTTTTTTCATTCAATTACATGCGTAACTAACACGCGTTGATATATTCCGGTGGCCGCTCGTTCTTTCTATTTTGATTTTTTCGTATTTTCTCTGTCAGGGAACAATTGAAAACATATGTTAACCGTAAGGTGGCATCTAGTCATATGCGTGTCCCCTTATCCCCATATCGTCTCGTAACAAAAATTGTTCTAGCCGTTATTAATTGAAGTCTTCTCAAGACCACCAGATAAGAGAAGCTCAGTGCCCATTTAGATGTGCCAAGTCGAAATCTAGCCGTCGACTGGCTGGCCAATTTGTTCTCATAGACGAAAAGTTCAGGTAAGCAATGCACAGCAAACGAGAGGAGGGATCGGAAAAAAAGTTGAGACCCAATAAATTGGCATGTGAATATGCGTGTGAGGGAGAGAAAGAGAGAGGGGAGGAAAACGGTGAGAGAGCATTGGTGAGGAAAACGTTAATGTATGGGACAAGATCCATCAGCGCATTGAAGAAGGACACTGAACAACACACCTCCCGCTTACCTGAGAGGTACCGATTCCGTGTTTTTTGTGAGTGATGTTAGGACGGGTTCGCGTGTGAAGTATGTGCAAATGGGGAGAGGTGTATGTTGTTTAACTGGGGGTGTTGTACCGCAATTTTTAATGGATGTGCATGTAGCCGAGTAGGCTCCTGCGGTGACTGGATATGCGCCGACAGTTCAGGCATTTAATACGAGGGCAATGGACATATGTTTACGCAACAGGCACTGGCTCGCTAGTTTATTTACAATGGATTCGCAAGTGACCGGCTAGACCGATGCAGGATGTGAAGGAGTGATCGCAATCAGGAGAGGTTGCGAGCGAGTCTACATTGCTGGCGCGGAGATGATTGTGGTTGACTGGGCGTCGGGAGTGTTCTCACCGGTGGTGAGTGTGAGAGAAGTGGTAGTCGTCGCCGCGGTCGCCGCCGTCGCCGCGGCCATTGTGGTGGGATGATGGAAATGGTGGTCAACGACGTCGGCTGCGGCGGCGGCGGCGGCGGGGCCAGCGGCAGCGCTCAATCTCAACATCGGTTGGTGGACCGGCCCCGGCAACCGGCCGGCTAACAAGAGAGGGAAGAAAGAGCGAGGCCGACATCCGAGACTTCATCCCAGCGGCACTTCAGTACACCCCTCACTATGACCAATCCGATGTGCTTAAATCTTTTACGGTGCGCTAAAAGCCTTGGTTAGGAAGGTTGCAAACTGGCAATTCAACTCGGACCTCGCAGTCAGTCAGTGTGTATGCGAGTCGAGTGGCCAAGTGTCGGACTGAAAGTTAGGCTCAATGCTTTCGCTGGCGGGACTGGCTTATGTGGACGTCTAGACGAGATACGGAAATAGGAACGCCTCGCCCAGGTAATAAAGGTGAACCTGCACATAATTCCAGAAACGGCAAAATATTCCCGTGTCCTAACCCCAAGGATAACCCTAATATAAAGCTGGACCGTTGCTCCAATATTGACCCTAACCCTTAACTCTATAGTTAACACTAGCCCCTACCTTAACCCTACACTCGATTCTGACTTGCGTTACCGTTAACTTTAGATCTAAATTGAATCCTTAACTTAGTCCTAACCCTTGCGTTAAGCCTAACCCTAATTTCACTGGAATTTGGCTCAAAGCCACCCGTGTTGCAGGCGTTTCCTGTTCTCATGTCCTGTTTAAACGTCCACAAAAGTCAGTCCTACCGTTTCCCTTTAGTGTGACCTCTATGGCACTTTCACGTGTATGAGAGATTCGGACTGCCAATCCCCTTTGTGGTAACTCCTGGTGTGTTGTGTGGGGCGTCAGGTAGTGTGTGGAACGCCAGCTACTGCGTCCAGTCATCGCAACAAATGACTTGCCGGATCAGACAGTAGACCGGCGTCTGGGAGAGCGAAGGGATGTGGTCGACTCTCTCAGCACACATCCATCACTTTAAACAATCTGACTAGCTTGAATCTATCACGGAGAGCCAAAAGCCGCGACTTGGAAGGCTGCTAACTGATGGGATCCCTCGGTTCTCCTCTCAGGACAGAGAGTCAGGCTGCAATGGCTTCTTCTTAATGTGACCTTTGTGGTACTCCTACCCACTTGGGATCCAAGCCGTCTCCCTATCTTGTTGTGTTGAATCCTGGTTTTATGTGCCCGGACCAGAGGGTGTGGCCAAACGCCTGGACGCGGATTCCCACCGTACCAGCCATCCGCGCCCAGTCTCGCCTCCGGTCTTATTTGACTCCGGACTCGGAGGTTGAGAGTAGAGAGAATTCGGTAGGTGCAGTACAAGTACGCAATCCTTTTAATTAATTCACATGCGAGTCACCACCCTGCTGTGGGACACGGTGGATAGCGTCGGAATCGACAGTCTAGGGACTTGCGCTCGTCGGCATCATGTAGAATTCATCGCCAACTATATGAGGAGGCAATTTTAAGTGTATCTACCGTAGGCCGATCTTACAAGGAAATATCCTCTAGTACAAAGCAGTCCCTAACAAACATTAATAACCAACCTCTAACCCTGCATCCAGGCATTTTCCCCGAATATCTCTAATCTCGAGAATAAATATAGTCGCAAAAACACGAGATCGAAGACTCAGCCACATAGCATAGTCCAACCCTAACCCTAGGGCTGAAGGGTGACGATGTGTCTAACTAACCAAGGAGACCGAATCTCATTCAGAATTACATTACTTAAAACTGCCAGATCTCCGCCCACCATCATCAGTCCAATTTAAAAAAATTACATCGAGGATGAAGTATGAGCTGTAGACAAGGTTTGTAGGCGTCTCTGGGGTTTAGCCACATTACGCCCCCCTATGCCGCTTGCATGACAAGGGCGGCATACTGTGGTCATTGAGATTGGGGGAGGTGAGATGTGGGCGATGTCTTCAGGTTAAACACGCGGAGTGCGCATGACTGTCAATAGGGGGAGGGAGGAGACGACGACGACGACGACGACGACGACGACGACGACGACGGCGGCGGCGGCGGCGGCGGCTGCGGCGGCGGCAGCGATGCAGACGTGCGATCACCACCTGTCCACGACTCATCTCCATTTTCCGCGAACATCAAAGTCTCCGCCCTGCCGCCAGACTGTCACGCCGAATGAAGCCCCTGAAAACAGCGTTCGCATGTGCCCAGATACTCCTACGCGTGTGTACTCGAGTATCCCACTGCAGGCTGTAACGGACGGTTGTTTTAAACGATACTTTTCCATCCCTCCCCTTTTTCAGAATTTACGACCACGTGGGCACGGAGCGACGGTTTCCGCCGCAACCTCCCGAAAAGTCACCGGTTCTCGTTTATCGTTTTCCGGATTGCCCATTTTTGCTATTCTATGTTCCTTTTTCGTGTCTCTACACTTAGTTCGCATAGAGTAACGTTCTTCCTTACTATTTTATAGACTCTCGACCGTTTTACCGATTTGTTAGCCTTTACAATTTCCGCTCTCCCTCCCCAGAGTTTTGTTCTCCTCATTATTTTATATACGTATTGGTTATAAACTATTTTCTATCGATCCGCTTATCATTTATCATGTCTCTATCGCCCATGTCCCAAGCCAGCGTGTGCGAAGAGATAGCGCGGCTTTTAGACGAAATATTATCAGCATTCCCGGTGAAATCTAAACCCGCTACCCCACTGTTCGACAACTACAAGCCCCAAACTGCGCCACCCTACCCGGCCGCTACAAGGCGGCAACCCCCGTTGACTTGCCAACTACCAACTTTAAGGTCCAAGTCAGTGCAATCGACAAATCGGCGCACAAACGCCGACCTCGCAAAAGGAGGTCAGCGCACCCCTGACCGACTGTCGTACGCAGTCATAGCCTAGCGAGTGCTACTGTAGCGTGATTCCTGCCATCTGTGTACTATTACAGCGTGATTCCCACCATCGGTGTTCTACTATAGCGTGATTCTTACCCTAGTAGGCACCGGTCAGAAATAGGAAGCAGATTTAAATCATGTCGTCTATGTTGCGAAAATTGAATCCGAACTAAATAACAACAATTAAGCAACAAATACTTTTATATCACGTAGGATTGTTACGAAGTGTTCTTCATCGGGGGTGTAGGGGTCTCCAGCTGTGGGTCCAAGTGGAGGTCGTAGTAGGTCGTTTGCATGCTTGCAGTTCTTGACTGCGCCTAACGTCCATTAGCTTACACCCAACTCTTACATGTGGCTCCTAGAAGCCAGGCTTTGTCGAACGGCCACACCCCGGTAACCGCCTCGACCAGAGGGCTAAACCACGTGAGGTTATCCAAGTGTGCATCTCCGCATACGGTAATTCTGCTCTCCTCCACCCTTTCTCTCCACCTTCTCCACGTCCCTTCTCCCCTTTCTACTCCTCCGCACTTTTCGTCCCCCCCCTTAACTCTCTCTACTATACTATCTCCCCCACAGGTCGAAAGTCCTACGGCGAGGGCGACATGCAAGCACGTAGGCGGCCCAGTCCAATCAGGTCGTTCTCTCACAAAACCCCGTGACCCATAGTGGAGAACGATATCCGTCTGGTGCGACACAGCAACCCTATTTAGGGGGACCACTGCTGTCCCCTGCAAGGGCTAAGAGGCTATAAAAAGTGCATAAAACAAATGCTGGGTTCACGACATCTGCGCGCAGACCGTAGCCCTCAGACTGCTAAACATGCGGTCGAAACGTAAACACATGACACAATACCCTCTCTCTTCCTCCTCCCGGCCGCCCCCCTCCCGCCGGCTGCTAGGGTGAGTCCGCTCACTCTGGCAGCCTGGAAAAATCACTCTCCTCTAGACAATACCAGAAGCAAACGGCCGGAACGGAGGACGGCGCCAGTCGCTGGAGTAGGTGGGTGCCGGCTACACCTTCTTCTGGAACAGCCGCCCACGGCAGTGCAACGTGAAGCGGTCGTCGCCTGTTCCATCCGGGAACGACATCCTGGGACAACTGCCCTGTCTGGCGCAGGACATCAACGAACGCCTGATGAGTCTCCGCCTGTCTCTCTGGGGAGACTAATTCCGCACCATCATCAGCGCCTATGCCCCAACAACGACCGCCTCAGACGAGACGAAGTCCAAGTCCTACAAAAACCTGTACGCCCTCCCGGCATATGTGCCGAAGGTGGATAAGTCAGTCTTCCTTGGTAGCTTAGATGTCCGCATGCGGACAGACTGCGCTGCCTGCAGGGGTGTTGGGTCCTCACGGAATCGCCGGCAACAACGACACTAGCCTCCTCCTCCTCCTGCGAACCCGCACTGAACACCGCCTCCTTTTGACCAACGCATTCTTCCGCCTGTCGATGCGAAAGAAGGTCACCCGGATGCATCCCCGATCGAGGAGCTGGCAGCTCCTGGACTATGTTATCGTCCAGAGGCGCGATCTTCAGGACTTGATGGTGACCAAGGCGATCTGCGACGTCAATGGCTGGACGGACCACCGCCTCGTCAGCTCCAAGATGACGTTCTGTCTGCAAGCCCGCAGGGGACCACAAGAACGGCGGCCACCGCCTGATGGACCAACTTACGACGTTATTTCAAGAAAGGTGGCGCTGTGGATAAGCTCTTCAGGATATCAGGGACGCGACCATTGTCCACATCTACAAGCGCAAAGGTAACCGTCAACTCTGTGATAATCACAGAGGCTACTCACTGCTCAACATTACTAGAAAAATCTTTGTCTGCATCCCCCTCAATCGTCTTAACCGATATCTCGAGCAAGGGCTCCTGCCGGAAGGCCACTTTGGCTTCCGACGACATCGAGTGACCATCAACATGGCGTTTGCCGCTCGCCAACTACAGGAGATGCGCCAGGAGATGCGAACTCGCATCTACAGCATCTTCGTAGACTTGACGAAGGCCTTTGATACGGCGGACAACGAGGGACTGTGGAAAATCATGCAGAGATTCGCCTACCCCGAACGATTCATGAACATGGTACGTCAGAGCCAAGACGGAATGATGGCGCGCGTCACGGAGAACGTCACCATCTCCGAGGCATTCGCAGTAGCCAATGGTGAGATGCTGATGGACGCCTATCGTGATGAGCGCCCTAGGATACGCATCGCTTACAAAACTAACGGGCATCGTCTTAACAGCAGGCGCATGCAAGCCCCCCGCGCGACTATTTACGAATACCGTCCACGACCTGCTCATTGCCGATGACTGCGTACTCAACACCACGATCAAAGTGGAGATGCAACGGAGCATGGCCTTCTCGCCGCTGGGTGTACCACATTCGGCCTGACTGTCAACACGGGCAAAGCGGTGGTCATGCACCCACTGTCATCTAACACGCGACACTTCACTCCTCCTCAAATCGCTGTCGACGGCGACCAGCTCAAAACCTGGACAAATTTGCTTATCTCGGAACCACATTTTCCAACAGCACCAGAATCAACGATGAGGTTTCCCACTGGATCTCCAAAGCCAGCCAAGCCTTCGGCCGGTTGCAGAACTCCGTTTGAAGTCATCACGGCCTCCAACTGAATACCAACCTGAAGATGTACAAGGTCGTCGTCCTGACGACACTCCTCTACGGAACTGAGACCTGGACCGTCTACTCCAACCGTGCCAAGTGGCTCAAGCACTTCCATCTCAGCTGCCTTCGCAGAATACTGGAGTTGAGCTGGTAAGACAGGATCCCGGCATATAAGTCCTAGGACGGATCGGAATCCTCAACATCCACGCCATGCTGCGGTAACTGCAATTACGTTGGAGTTTCCATTTCATGAGGATAGAAGACTCAAGACTACCGAAACAACTCTTCTATGGTAATGTCGTCACCGGTGCATGCCAACCGAGAGAACCAAAACGACGCTACAAGGTCATACTGAAGATTCCTCTGAAGCGATTGCATATCAACCCGAGACCTGGGAGCACCTAGCCCAGAACAGACCGACTTGGTAAAGAGAAGTAAATACCGGCGCAACCATCTACGAAGCAATTCGGATCTCCGTTGCCAAATCCAAAAGGAAGGCTCGCAAGTCACAAGTGCGTTGCCTCCTTAATGCCAGTCGTCGACCGCATCCAACATGCCTGTGCTACCAACGCGTATTCCGCGCGCGAACCGGTCTCGTTGGACACCTTCGGACCCAATGTGCCACCAGTCGACAACATCTACTTCTTCCATTCTCGCCCCTGCCGCAATCCCCACGCCGTCGGCCACCCCCGACTGGTGTGGGCTGACAGTTCTCTGGCACCTAATTCCCTGCCGGTAGATGCGCTTGCGCTCCCGCTGGGCACACAGGTCGTGAGTATGGCTGCACAGTCATCCTCTTCTATCTGCTGTTGCTGTTTGTTAAAATCCCGGTAAAGTGTTTGATGTGAGCCAGGGGGTGTCGTAGTACGCTTGGATGCGGGTCCGCCCGTGCCAGTCACTTGCACCCTCTCTCACCTCCGGTCTTCCTGACTATGCCTTGACACGAGGTCAGGCTGGGGGAGGAGGAGAGAGTGCGATAGATGCTGCGCAAGTCTACTCTCGCTATGAACTAACTCACTCGCAAGTCACCGTCCCTGCTGCACCTTACTGTGGTGCACATGGTGGACATATTCGTGCACGACGGTCGAACTGTCGGTCTTCATCTTCCTTCATAACATGGCAGCAGTGTTCGTCCAAGTCGCTTGAGATGAATGCTGTGAAAATCCGCGATTCCTCTTAAAAATCCCAATCTCACTGTCCAATTAAGTCCTCTCGATTTGCTGGGTGTGCAAACCTGCATTTGGATCAACGTAATTTTTTTCGATAATTGACGGATTAGTGATCGCACCCAACCTGATTAAGTCGCGATAAGCTGATCATTCGTCAGATTGTAGTGCTGAACTTTCTTTTACTTCGCGTTAAGTGGTAGGAATCAACATTGCTGCATCACGCTTTCGCATATAAAGTATCTAACATCGGTACCCGGTCTTCGAGTGTGATGACCAAGGCTACATGCAGGGTTGAGCCTCCCCCTTGTGAGCTTTAATAATTTTGTGCGTATGCCGTGCCACGCCTCAGCAAACAGTGATCCTCGCAGCCTGATGTGGGCTGACACTGCTATGGCACCTGATTCCTAGCCGGTGGACGCACATGCGCCCCCGCTGGGTATACAGGCCTTGTTCATGGCTGCTCAGTGACTTGAGAGGCTGACAAATGACCTCGAACACGGCCCAGTTTTGCGTGTTCTTGTGGAGAGGCCGACTGGTGGCCTGACAGTCGGGCTGAAATGGCTCCTTCATAACGTGGTCTCTATAGCAATCCCACACCGTGGGATTCGAACCAGGTATCGCAGCACGACCGGCGACGGTTCTAACCGCGTCAGCCGTTGCCCGTGTTTTTTGTTAGGGTCCAAATCCTGGTCAGTGTGTATTGTGGACCAGGGTTGTTGTTCCAGATCCAGTTTCAGGCTCACGCCGCGTCGATTTGCGTTCCAAACAGTCCCCTCCCCCTTTTACTTTCTTCGTATACAAAATCCTGCTCAACAAAGGAGGGCAGTGGTGTGAGGCTGACCGCCCCAGCCTCCTGCGCCCTCTCCCACCTCTGGTCTGCCTGACTCTGCCTTAACGCCAGACCCACGTGGAGGGAGGAGGAGAGAGTGCGGTGGGTTCAGAGAAAGTCTACAATTACTGTGAGGATGATCACGCGTAAGCCACCGTGCCTGCTCTTTCCCTACTGTGGAGCACACGGTGGACATCGCCGCGACCGACGGTTGGATTGTCGCCTAACGTAAGTACCCTGACATAATCCAAAGACTCACGGTCAATCAATGCGTGAGCTGTGGTTCCAATTATTCTGTGATTGATCCTCATCCTTCTCTTTGGCAAGTGCATCTCCAGCTAAAAGACCGCCACGATCGTACTTATGGTGCCCTGCAAATCCGGCCTCATCGATTCGTATTCGGTTTTCCAGTGTTCCGTCCAGTTTTCCTCTCCTAACGATAGATGCCAGTTCGAAGCAGATTACCCGACAGTCACTGAACCAGCCAACCGCAGTATTTGGGTGATCTGCTAGCAAACTTTGGCACTTATTCCAGTGGCATTCTGTTATTCCAGAGACAAGCTAACTCTACTGGTTGATATGGCTCCCTAAACAGGACATGAGAACAGGATCTGTCTGAAATACGGGTGGTTTTCAGCCAAATCCCAGTGAACTTAGGGTTGGGTTTAAGGTTAGGGCTGGGGTTAAATTAAAGACTAGGTTTAAGGCTAGATATAAAGTTAGCGGTAAGGTACATCAGGATCAAGTTTATGGTTAAGGTAAGGGCTAGTGTTAACTGAAGAGTTACGGTTCAGGGTAGAGTTGGGGTTCAGATAAGGACAACGATCTAGTTTTATATTACGGGTTATTGTTAAAGTTAGGACACGGAAATATTTTGTCCTTTCCGAAATTATGCCCAGCTACGCCTTTGTTACTTAGGCGGGACGTTCCTATTCCCATGTCCCGTTTGAGGGGGGGGGTCATAGAAGCCAGTCTTACCATCTAACATTTCACAGAGCTTCAAAATATAATGGGGTTTGTTAACTCTACCTCACAGACAAGACATCGAGTCGCTCTTTTCGGCTAAAGGAAGATGAGAAATGCGGTTTGCAGTTCCATATCATGGAATCAAATCTAGCATATAGATGTTACCCCATGAGTCGCTACCTTCGGGTGTTTTTCCAACTTAGCTATCATCTCCGAAGCTGTATTGAATTCAGATCACAAAACTGGAAGAATTCGATCTCCTTCTTTACCAATGGAACAAACTGCCAACTCCTTCTCCTTCTGCTCACTGACCTTCATCGGCCATAGAACTTGCGGCAAGATTTTTTCGCTAAGATGTGGTTTGGCAGCCTCACCTGATGGACACAATACTGCTGGGGTTGGGGTTAAGTATTAGGGCTAGGGGTTATGATTAGGGGTTGTGGTTAGGGTTAGTGGTTGGAATTTAGAATAGGGGACTATAGTTAGGTATTAGGGTTGGGGATAGGGTTAGGGACTAGCGCAACTATATCTCAACCAGTGAAAGTACAACCACGCACTCCCAATAGCCGTTCTTTTGCATACAACTACTTTACCTCGGCGTCTGTGTTCCCCGGCTCCACCTGTAAAAAGCCCTATTATTACAGATCCCGAATTAGAGGTGACTGGGATTTGTTTACTTCAGCTGGGGCGACCAAACCAAAACTGACCATTTTTCCCTACTAAGAGATCATGTCGGAGGAGATGTCGTGACGCCGCATATTCGCTATGCATCACTTCTGCACAACAATACTTTGAAGAAAAAGGTAAAGTGGGAGAAGGAGGGCAAGAATCACACTATTGAAGCACCGAATATCGTCCAGCAAACCTCCTACAGACTGTACGATTGAAAACTACTCACACACGTACCCATCAATTTGATGCAACGTATATTATGAAAGGTGTAAGCCTGTTTATTCCTCAGAACAGACATTCTAAGTACAAATTCCCATTGAACGTCTCAAGGTACTTGTCACGCCTCAAGTCAAACAAGACTGACTGACCCCACTTCTCGCATACAGCCCTTATTGGCTGCCTTCCCCCCATTTTAAACTACGCTACCTCATCGATTTTCCAGCTCGATATAGCTAAAATCAAATTCCCCCTTACCAATACTTGACGTTTGCATGCCTTTGTCAGGGGAGTTCAATCAGACGAAGTATGCGTTCAGATAAAATGTTCCATTCTGGTAGCACTCTCCCTGGTCTCCCTCCACCGCCTGCTATACTCGAACTCTCCCAATTATGACTCTTCATATGCACTGAACAAATCTTGATTTTACCAATGCCTCAGACATTTAATTGACATACATGACCTACAGTGAATTATCCTCAACACAGGCAGCACTGCTCTCATGTGAATAGTAAGGCAAAGTATATGCAGATTTTAGTGAATTTTACTTCCAGGTAAAATTAGCACTGGAAAAATAATGGGCTTTGTTAACTCTACCTCACAGACAAGACACCGAGTCGCTTTTTTCGGCTAAAGGAAGATGAGACATGCGGTTTGCAGTTCCATATCAAAGAATCAAATCTAGCATATAGATGTTACCCCATGAGTCACTACCTTCGGATGTTTTTCCAACTTACCTATCATCTCCGAAGCTGCATTGAATTCGGTAAAAAAAGACCATCTCCCTCTCGGCAGGCGTGGAGTCGTTTATTCGCATTACCCACCGGTGGAT